TTTATATTAGTATTTGTACAAAAGATAATAAAATTTACACGCAAAAGGAAAATACACCAACACTCGAAATATAGGGCGCATAACAAAACAGTAAATGTTTTAAATCATTTACACAAATATAGGTAGGTATATGGACTAGACATGTAAGAATAACAAAATCATAATGACTGCTTAATTCTTTTGGACCATATGTATTTTAACTATTTTTAAGAAGACAAATAAGCTATCACTTTCATCCACATATGCTGAAAATATATCCTCCGTTGATCTTAATTGTGATGCTTGAGATTAAAAGATAAAAAATTACGTATAACCATAGTCGTGTAGACATGAGTTTATTATATGACACATGTCTAGAAGGAAAATGTGGATTCCTCCTCCAGGTCACGTAGGTGCACATCCTTGATTCCCCACGTGCGTACGTAAAGTCCTATCCTCTAGAAAACATAACAGGTAGAGCCATAGATGGACTATGCAAGCCTATTCAAATCAGAAAAGATAAATTACTCTATCATAGCTTGCCACAGAAGTAGTTAAGAGTTGCTAAACATTTAACGGTTTAAAAGTAAGTAAAAAATATGAAATAAATAGGGAAGCCTCATTCTAATATAATAAGATGATCCAACGGCATGATTATGAAAATATGCATTTATGTGTCCTCAACGAAAAAATAAGCATTTCAGCTCACTGCAGGATCAATATATATTAAAACATTTGTTCTTTTTGTCCAGGACACATGTAGTCATATTTTTTCAATCCCTCCGTTGGATTATGTTATATTATAGGTGTGTTGGTTCAGTATTTTTTTCAAGATTTTTGAAAACTTTTACACCGTCGAAAACCTTAACCAGTTCTGTGGCAAGCTATTTTTAGATAACCCCGCAAACTAGAATTGCAATGGCATATATCTATTTAACCAAATGATAAAGTGCATGCATGCAGAAGGCTTACTTTCCTAAAATATAACCGTACTGTACCTTTCCATCATAATAGTACGTAACTGTACAGGTAAACCTGAGCCTCATATAGCTAAACAGAACTGGATAATTTTCTAAACAATATCAGCCAAGCAAGAGTAGGTCAAATCAAATCCATCAAAAGTCCCTACCTACCTGCAAAGAGAAAAAAGTTATCTACCCCATCCGAAAATAGAAATCACTTAGATCTTGAGGACTTTATGTTCTAAACCATTTTTGACAGAAGTTTCAAGGACACATTTTCACATATTGAAAAGCAAAGCCCATCTATTTTCATGATTATATCTACAGAAAAAGTGTTAGACACAACTAATATATTTCTAGAGGAAAAGAATGATCTACAATTCTTATATTGGCATTAGTTGAACATGGTAAATATTTATATAACATGAAACATACAATAAGATTTAAATAAATAACCCATTTGTTTTTTTTCAAGAGGATTCAGGTTGTAGCAGTAAAAAAATGTAAACATTACATGCCTCGGATGTATAAAGATATACTGAGTGTTTGTACCAATGCAAAAATAAAAGGCATGTAGTAGATGTATCAACAACAACGTGTTCGACATGAGGAGAGTGAACATGAGGGAAGGCATCCTTGATTTATATTTTTTTGATACTAATGAAGTTCACCATTATTGGAAGTATGGACAAGAAAAAAGTGTGAAACTAAGAAAATTCAAATAGTAAATGTGCGTATGAAGATCGCCAAAAAGGATACCCTATGCACACTTTTTATGTATGCCATTGTGAAGCACATACCAACAAACAAACTGTAAGAGCAACGTAGTGTTGTGTGTGTGTGTGTGTGTGTGTGTGTGTGTGTGTGAGAGAGAGAGAGAGAGAGAGAGAGAATGTTTAAATCAATGGCCAGTCCGGAGAAATTGGTTGCTTCAGTTTACAGAGCAGATTTTGACACGATAAAGAATAACAAGCTTGACGAGATTATGTGTGTGAGCGAGCGAGAGCGGGTAGATACCGGATAGAGAGTGCGGAGATAGATAGATAGATAGATAGATAGCTAGATAGCTAGATAGATAGATAGATAGATAGATAGATAGATAGATAGATAGATAGAGAGATACAGAAATATGAACTATGCTGAATGTTTTCTCAGGGTAAATATTAGCTGCAAGATTTTCTATAATTTTCAATAGGTACAGAATGCCAATTATTCATATCTCAAAGTTAGTGTACAAAGTATGCACGAACATAAGAACACCAACTAACAAATCTAGCCGCGCAAATGCGCGGGTGAACCCGTTAGTTTTAAATATATGATGAGCACTTTTCGAATGGGCGTGAACATTCATAAACTACTTTATGGACCTTTTATAAAACACGATAGAAAAATAGATAAAATAGATAGAAACGAATAGAAAAAATGAAATAAGAAAAAGAAATGGAAAAGAATTAAAGACATAGAAATGTAAGAAACTAAAAAGTATACTTAAACTAGTTCGTTGTTGTTCCCGAGTAAAACCATGGAGAAAAACAAGGGGAAAAGCAAAAGGCAGGAAAAATCTGCCCCTAGCCTCCGTCATAGCGAAGCCATATGGCTATGTGGAACATATCTGGTGCACCAAGGCAATTGGTGCTACCGGTGCATCGGTCGCCCGTTGCATATTCAAAAATGTTCGAAAAATCCGAAAAAATCTAATGCATTGACACAACATCAATGTGCGTTGTCACAAAAATTTAAATCAATATTTGAAATATTACCCGAGATACAAAAATAACAAATTTGGCACTGAATAGTACGTAACACAAGTCCGGCTTCAGTTTTGGCCCATTAGCACATTGAGGTCAAATTTATCATTTTTGTATCTTGAGCATTGCTTTGAATTTTGATATGAACTTTTGTGACAACATACATTGATGTTGTGTCGATACACTAATTTTTTTGCAAAATATTTTGAACAATTTTGAATATGCAACGGGGTCCGGTGCACCGGTAGCATCAATTGCCTTGGTGCACCAGATACGTTCCCATGGCTATGTAGCCGAGGGAGCCATATATATCTCGTATTAGGAGAGATATAGATTGTGTGTTTTACATGAGCTTCTTTTTCTAAGAAACCTTTGAGCAGGGTGTTACTTGAGGCAGCTCTCTTTTACTTTCTTCTTCACCTTTCTCTGTTTTTCTTATTATCCTTTATTCTTTTTTGAAGCATTTTCATTTATTATTTTATGTCTTTGATTTCCTTTGTTTCTTTTTGTTGCTTTGTCCTATATTTTTTTTATTATCTGTGATTGTCCCATTTATGCTTTAGTTTTTTTTTCTTCTCCTTTTTATTTTTCATTTTCCCATGCCTGTAACACCCTTATTTGGAATGAAATGTTGGGGAGGTGTTGGAGAAGCTCTTATATCCCATGTACGAGATGGGGCATTTTTTGAGAGAGAATACGCGATGGAGCTGGGGCTGAATTGTTAGACGCAATCAACATGGAATCGAAGTAGTAAAAGTGATCCAGAAATAACCAGTGGACATCAACCCGTTTTAACCGTCAACCGCAACCTGAAAATAGGAAATGAGCATGATTGGACAGATATTTGGACATGGCTTTACGACAGCTGTCATTTATTTTGGCCATTTTTATCTGGGCTTCTTAATACTCTTATCCCCTTTTTGGCTTTCACGTATTTGAGCTTATTTTCCTAGTAAATGTCTGGACAAGGTGTTACGGTAGCCGTCATTAACCTTTTTTTTCCTCATTTCCAATTACTCCATTTTTAGAACCATTTTTCATTTAATCTTTGTATGTCTTTGATTTTCCTTCTTTTTCGTCTTTTTTATTAGTTGTGCTTGTACCATTTATCTTTTAGTTTTATTTCTTATTTTTCTTCTTGTTTTCAATTTCCCGTACACATTAATTGGGATGAATATTTATCTTATAACACACAAACTTTTTCAAAAATTATAAATTCTGTATAATCTTTTTTGCTATGCGATGAATAATTTCTAATACTCAATGACTATTTTTAAATTACATGATGAATTTTTTAAGAACACAAGATAAATGTTTTTAATAACAGATGGACTTTTTTAAATATATTATAAACTGTTATGAAGACTAGATTAACATTTTTGAGATACATGATGAATATTTTCTAAATTATCCAATGAGCTTTTCTCAAAATATATGGTAAAATTTTCATAAATGCATGAATGACTGTTTATGTAGATGTTGAACATTCTGAAACATACAATGAACATATTTTAAATATGTGAGTATTCTTTGAAGTACCGGCACATTTTTAAAATACACAGTGAAGACTGTGAAAAAAGTCACGCTAAACTTGTTTTGTTATGTGATGAATATTTTTAATATATAATAAATGTTTTTAAATGCATGATGAACATTTAGAAATACAGAAGATAAAATATTTTTGATGCACGATTTACATTTTGCAGTACATGATGGATATTATTTAAATACACGTTGGATATTATTTAATTCATCATGAATATTTTTCAAATAATGTTCAACATTTAGCAATACCTGTGAATATTGATTAAATACATGATTAACTTTTTGTATGCACGATATTAAAATACGCGATGAACCTTTTTAAATACACAACAACAAAAATATTTTCCTTTTTTTCTCTTTGTTGTTTTGTATCTTTTTTTATTATATGTGTTTGTCCCATTTATGTTTTTGTTTAGTTTTTTCTTCTCCTTTTTATTTTCATTTTCCCATGCCTACGACACCTTATTTGGGATGAAATGTTGGGGAGGTGTTGTATTGCATGTACGAGATGGAGCTCGCCTTAAATTTTCACACACAAGCAACATGGAATCAAAGTAGTAAAGGTGATCCAAAAATAACCAGTGGACAGCAAACCGGTATAGCCGGCAACCACAACCTAAAAATAGCAAATGAGCATGCATGTCATGAGCATAGCGAATAATTAAACCGAACACTTGTCCTCCCTGAACCGATGTGTATTTAAGGTTGGGCTCTGAAGCTCCTGGCCTGAAAAGGATCAAGGATCGAGAAGGATTCCACAGCCAAAATGGCGTTGAGGAACGTTGCGATGAGAGCCTTGTTGCTCCTGGCGGTGGTGAGCGTGGCATATGCCGCCAAAGGCAATGAGAAGAAGAAGGAGAGCGCAGATGGTCCGGCGGCGTCTGGTCCGGCGGCATCTGGTCCGGGTGGGGAGTACGACATCACCAAGCTCGGCGCCAAGCCCGACGGCACAACGGACTGCACCGAGGTACGTACGTGCTGAAGGAGAGAGAATATAAGAATGATGATGGATCGATGGATCATGTGGTGGAGTGCATTGCAATTGCATGCAGGCGGTGGAGGAGGCATGGGCTTCGGCATGCGGTAGCACCGGGAACCCGACCATCATCATCCCCAAGGGTGATTTCCTGACTGGAGCTTTGAATTTCACGGGGCCGTGCAAGGGCGACGGACTCACCATCAAGCTGGAAGGCAACCTGCTAGCTTCCAATGACCTGGCCAAGTTCAAGTCTAACTGGATCGAGATCATGCGCGTGAAGAAGCTCTCCATCACTGGCAAGGGCAACATCGACGGTCAGGGCAAGGCCGTCTGGACCAAAAACAGCTGCCAAAAGAACTACAACTGCAAGATATTGCCAAACGTACGTACGCGTGCATAACATTATATAGTAATAAATTATATATACGTGCGTATATTTCTTTTACTATTATTGAAGAAATGCTGTTATATTCTTACGTACGTAAATGTATGCATGCAGTCGCTGGTGCTGGACTTCTGCGACGACGCGCTCATCGAAGGCATCTCTATCATCAATTCCAAGTTCTTCCACATGAACATCTTCCAGTGCAAGGGCGTGACCGTCAAGGACGTGAAGGTGACCGCGCCCGGGGACAGCCCCAACACCGACGGCATCCACATGGGCGACTCGTCCAATGTCAGCATCATCGACACCACCATAGGCGTTGGCGACGACTGCATCTCCATGGGCCCCGGCACCACAAAAGTCAACATCAGCGGCGTGACCTGCGGCCCAGGCCACGGCATCAGCATTGGCAGCCTCGGGAGGTACAAGGACGAGAAGGACGTGACCGACATCACCGTCAAGAACTGCGTGCTCAAGGGCTCCAGCAACGGCCTCCGCATCAAGTCGTACGAGGACGCCAAGTCGCCCCTCGTAGCATCCAAGATCACCTACGAGAACGTCAAGATGGAGGACTCGGGCTACCCCATTATCATCGACCAGAAGTATTGCCCCAACAAACTTTGCACCTCCAAGGGCGACGCCGACAGGGTCACCGTCAAGGACGTTTCGTTCAAAAACATCACCGGCACTTCCTCCACCCCCGAGGCCGTCAGCCTGCTCTGCTCCGAGAAGAAGCCCTGCGAAGGCGTCACAATGTCCGACGTCAAGATCGAGTACTCCGGCAAAAACAACAAGACCATGGCTGTGTGCTCCCACGTCAAGGTCACCGCCACGGGAGTCGACAAGGCCAACACATGCGCCGCCTGACCCATGACTCCACGGTTGAAGAGATAACAAGACCGCAAGAGGCACTTTCCTTCTATTTTGCGCGACATGATTTCTTTTCTCGGTATGTCGATTTCCGAATCCACGCCAGGAGATCGTCCTTTAGTTTTCTTCCTAGGTTGACCACTTACCTTTATATATACTAGTAAAAATGCCCGTGCGTTGCACTGGACGATCTTTTTTTGTAAAACATGCTCGTCTCGAGTGCCACTATGTGCCACTTCTTATATCCAAGACAAATGCCAAAAATAAGGTTGCCCTCATTCGCTATAAGGTGAATATGCCTTCGTGTTGTCGTAGTTGAATTATCACGAAACAATGCTTTAGATTGAGGTATGAGTCTGCTCTTCAGCCACCTCCACAAGAAAACCTAGATCGCTTCTCCTCCTCTTGCCGCCGCCATGGTACACTACCGGTCACAGCCCACACAGAGCCGTCGACAACGAGGACGTCCTTCGGAGATGTTGTGCCCTGGTGGGCCGCGCGATATGGAGGGGAGGGCCGGCTACTGCGTGTGCATTGGTGGGTGGTCTGGGTTGCGTCTCAGCTCTAGCGTGTTGGCTACCTTCAGTGGCAGCCCGACCTAGCCTGGTCATTGGAAAAGGGGGCTACATGACGGGATCCTAGGCGGCGACGGGTTCTCGGTTGTCTTAGGATTTTGGACAGGGAACCGAGAGCGCGTGTCATCCCTCCGTAGGAATATGGTTTTCCGTGTCCTATCCCCGTTTCATTGTTGTGCTTATTCGCGGTCAAGGGTGTGTGGGGCTGTGTCTTCGTCAGGATTTTGTATGTTTAGGTTTCTGGGGGATCTGTTCGGATTCGATCAATTTTCATGGTCTTGCAGTTTCTACATGCCCTTCTCACATTTTCCTATTTTGGGCAGAAATTTGCTTCACAAATTGCGACCGACGACATCTCCTGGTCTACATCAGCGACTTCTCGGCCACTGCTTCCATAAGCTCCTGACTGAAAAAAGTTTGATTCATCTAGGTAGAGGCTTAGAGGGATGCAGGAAGAACAAGAGCTCGGCTCCCCAGAGATTTGAATGTTTCCGTACGGGTGAGTTTGTAAGGACATGTGTCCCTTAATATTTGGCCTTAGGCCTTTTCGCAAAGAAAAAAGGATTTGTCGCTTTTTGGACAATGAAGTGTGGACGTGAAGAACATACCCTAATGTCCTTCGTCAGCGCCTACTTCAAATTTGCACTGCCATCGGATGGAATAGTACTCCAACTAATCATACTTACAAAGCATGGCAACCCATCTTCTAGCTTACACGTCCTCTAAATCTCAAAAACATGCACCTGCTCTGAACTTTTGAACATTTACTCTGCTCTCAATTTGCAACTGCTTTTCACATTTAGATTTCAGTTAAATGAAAAAGGAGTGGAGGGGAGCAGATTTGTGACAGAAATATGACTGCTAGAACAGAATAATCTCTCCCTCTCTCTCAGTATACACGCACATATGCACAAGCAAGTAAATCGAACTGCAAAACTGAATGAACCACACCTGCAGCCATACTTTTGTTGCTACCAGGCCAGCTGGAGGCGGACACGGTGGCACTGGTGGCGGCTGACACCGCCAATTTTGGAGCTATAGCCTGCAGTGGACGAGCTCACATACCTTCTCTGGCTTCACGGATCTCGCGTCTGCCTTTCCCCGTTCCCCCCTTGGCTCCTACCATGTGTCCACGTCTACCTCTGCTTCATCGCTGCTCCCTTCTCGACACGGCGAAGGAGGGGGTGAAGGAGGTGGCACGTGGAAGCCTTCAACTGGAAATTAACAAAATGCCTAGTTAGAAGTAACGAACCTTTTTATTATCTTATTCATAATCAGACCGTACTCTGAACATAAAGGGCATGCGATCCTAGGACATGAAGCACAACCATCTAGCTAATAGAAACACTCAGCATAAGCTGAAGTAATTCTGTAATAGTACTTACATATTGCTCCAGCCATATATCTGCAACCTTACAACTACATATATCCATCTCCTCAAGCACCATAGTTGACCATTATTGGCGCTTCACTGCTCCTGGCAACTTGATGCTAATTCGTAGAAACAGTGTTTGGTCTTATTTTGTAATTGACGGTTATATCATCAGAATATGCAGCTCTGAGCCTCCAACACCTCTCTAGAACAATGAAGGTTTTTTTTCTTGCATTATTCTTAGTTTGAATGTAACAAAATAATCAAAGAATGGAACATCCAACAATGACTTAAACAGTGATTTTGTGTGAGGTTTCCATGTGAAAATAATTTTGTTATCCCAACAAAGAATATGGCATGTCTAAAAATGGTCCACCTGTACTGTAATAGCCTACTTGTCAGCCTAATATCCATATCGAGTTATAGATAAACGAAGATATACCAACTGATGCAATAGATGTACCTAGAACTTCTTCCCAGGCGGTTGATGTAGGCATTAGTACGGAAGTTAGGCCAGTACTGTGGTAGTGATTCCTATTTGATCCGTGAAAAATCTGCAGCCCTTACTTTCAACTCTGATGTTAGTACTTTGATGCAATTGCTGAGAAATTAAAAGATGGAAACACCGTAAAAAGCTGCTCAAAGAAGCTTATGCCGTAGTTCGTACAGACAACCATATTGATCTGATGAAAAAAAATAGGATTCGATAAATCTAGAATATCTTGCTTCATCGATAATCAAATTAAAGTTCAAATGGCACAAGAGATTGTTGAGGCCCCATTTGCCAATGCAACCTGAAAGGCAGAAAAGATGAATTAGGAGGAAACATAAATCAAATTTAACTGTCTAAAGTTTAAGAAGGTGTGATGTGATTACCAAACAAACTATAAATCAGTACCAAAAATAAACTAAGCCCTAGTTGATTGTCATTTTCACGAAATAACATAAAAATTGTAGTGATCATAACATTGAGTAATAAGCAAACATATCAAACATGTTGACACAAGGTTTTCATTCATAAACCACAAATTGATTCTCTCCCCCACACCTTTCTTCCTCGGCAATCGTCGGATGTCACATCCACCATTGAAAACCACACTGCGAACCATGAAACTACTGTACATAAATTATGACAGATGGAGTAAATTATTACTTTGAAAGACAGCTTTTAGGCAAAGCAATTAGCAGCCAAACGAAGTTGTTAGTTACTACATAAATGGACCAAACGCCTTCAAGCTATGAGCCTCCTTTACCTCAACATTTTTTTTCTTCCCACAAAAGCAAACGGCACGGACAAGGACATTACATCCATCTCCCTATTGCATTGTCACAAATGTACATTCAGTTTAATATAAGCAGAAAGCTAATTACGGAACATCAGTGGACTATTCCATAAATGAATTCTCAACCTACTATCAATGCAACTGATACAGGAAGCAAGGAAAGAAATGAGCGATACACTAATTTCAACATCACAAGGAGCTGCATGAGAAACCAATCTCCAGAAGCTTGTGTTACCAATCCTGCAGAATAACCATCATTTGGAGCCTGTCGGAAGAGAATGCATCACTACTATTCTGCACAAAAGAAACCAGTATTAATCTCCATTCAAATTTATTTTTTCTGAACTCTCAACATTTTTTCAGTTCCACAAAAGACATTTCATCAATGCAGAAATACCAGGTGTCTACCACCACATGTCATTATAGATTGGGTAGTCTCCTCTGATTTGCCTAGTGACGTAGAACCACCATATTTTCCTGAGTTTCTGCAGCATACAAAACTTAGTTTTGATGCATATAAAATATTGTATGGACTATGAAGCCATTGATGCAAGCTATACAAGTTAACTGTTTCTTTTAGGAGAAAATTGAGCACAACTAAGCACTTACTTTTCTTATCGAATAACTTTTTTCAAGACCGTTTGCAGACATGTATTGCCTGTTGGATTGGGAGATCGATGCATACAACATGTCCATTGGTTGGCCCTGATCGGGCAGGATTCGGCCATGCCACACACCTACCTGAATCGATACTATTGCAGGCTTGGACTGTCAAGAGATCGGCAAGGAGTCGCGCAGGCCTGCTACAGCTTGCTTGACACAGTCAATGCTGCATGTTTTCGGTTGCCGCTCCTCGTGGCGACTCCCTCTACCTCCAGATCTAATGGCAACGCCTACTGCCACCGTTGTCGGGGCCTTCGAGGCGCTCCATGAGCTCATTCCACTCGGGCTAGGGGAGTAGGGGTGCAGTAGCTCCAACTCGCTTAACTCAATTTTATCATCCTTTCAACAAAACGAAATAACCCAAATTATTAGTACTCATGCACACAGAGCAATTTTTGTTGCACAATATAGTGTAGGAAATTAAAAACCAACACTTGTTAGAGTGTGACAGATGCCGAGTCAGAATGATCCCGCAAAGTTAGAAATTAATCGTATAGACCGCTAATAGTAAATTGGTTATGTGGTCTTGCAAAGTGGAGGAAAATAATTTCCTACTGATAGGTTATCTGATTGACAAAACGATGAGAGATATAGGCACATCCAGCCAGCGACTGGGAGATGAACAACACGTATACAATAAATCAAAACAGTGGAAGGTCCCCTGAAAACAGTGGAGTGGCAAGAGAGGGATTAGAACCACGACCGTGAACATGGAGTTGGCGACGGAGCAAAACCAGGAGATCCTCCTCTGCCTCGTTGCACCGGCAGGCGGCGGCGGCGGCGGCGGCCTCGATGACAGCCGAGGTGCGCCACCTGCAAGGACTTCGCACCGCCTTGCCGGATCCCTCCGTCTCCCGTGCCCGTCCACCATCGCCCGGCTCCGGCAAGCTCCTTCCTAGGTCGTTGCGCCGCCCCTCCTTACTCCCTCCTTCTCTCCCTCACTTCCCTTCCTTCCTGCCCAGTAGCCACATGCTCCATGGATCCGCCAGGGAATCCGTGCTCCGGCCATCCTCGTCGTCACTGGTGACCCCACCTCGCCGCCGGCCTCCGGATCCGCCTCCCCAGCCCCTGCCGCGCACGGATCCTCCCCCTGTAAGCTCCAAC